GCAACCTCCAACTCCTGGGCTCAAGCGAGTCTCCTGCCTCAGCCTCCCAAGTCGCTGGGACCACAGGCGCCCGCCACAACGCCCGGCTGTTTTTTGGTTGCAGCCGTCCTTGTTTGGCGGGCCCAGGCTGGATTCAATCCCGCCACCTTTAGGTGTATATGGCTGGCGCCTTAGCCACTTGAGCCACAGGCACCAAGCCACTGGGCAATTCTTAAGCCCCCTTCTAAGCTGAAGAAAGAGTTGGGCTTTTTTTCTTTGTGTGAGTAGCATTTCATGCCACTGATGGGTTAAAGTAAGCCTAGTGCTCAGGTCCCATTTTGAGAGGCACCACCAGGGAAGCAGAGGACAAAAGGAGGTGATGGGAAGGGTGTTGGACCTATGTGTCCCAATGTCAGGAGTCAGAGTGCCATGCAGGCGAGGACTTCTAGCCTGAACCCAGAGCTTCCAGTTTAGTTCCTGGTACTGAGACACTGAGATTCAGAGAGGAAGAGTAATTTGCTCAAAGACCCTCCTGATGGTGGAGAATGGGGATCACACTGCTGGGTTGGCATTGTGTAGGGCAGGCCAGGAGCAAGGGAGGTCTGGGGAAAGTAAGAATTGGTGAGAGTGTTGTTGAGATGCTGTCAGGCCAACGTGCCTGCTTTTCAGCTGTGTGGCTTTGGGCAAATTACTAAACTCCCCTGACTTGGTTTTCTCACCTTCTACCTATCCTGCAGGGTCCTGTAAGTTAAGGAGAATAGAGAGCTTGGGGCAGTGCCCAGCACCTAGCTCCGGAGGGCTTCCTTGGCAGAGAGGCAAAGCCAGCACGTGGGCAGTGAAGTGAGCATAGGGCTGGTAGACTGGCTGAGATCATCCTCAGAGCCAAGGATGAGAAGGTAGAAGAAGCTGTGGACATGAGATTTCCTGGTTGGAGCAATTCTAGTGCTACCTAGGTGTGGCACAAGAGGAGATGGCACAGGAAGGGGAGGTCAAGGAACCAGGAGCCTCCTGGGTTGTTCCGGTGGCTATGGAAGCCCCTTGGGCTGGATGGAGAGGGCCCAGTAGGAACCTTGCTTAACTGTCAGCCTGGGAGGGCTGTGGCCAGGGCCTGGAGGAAGGCAGGGCAGGGTCTGCACTGGAGGTTCGAGTCTCAGCCTTATAATTCTGCCCTAGTTTTTGGGCTCTAGTGGCAGCTGGCCAGCTAGGCAGCAGTGCCTAGTGGG